GTGCCCACGCACAGGGGAGCTCGGGCAGCTGCTTTGCCATGAAAGGGTCAGAAATAAGGTAAAATGAAAACTAAAATCTTAGTGTTAGATGCCAGTCTACTGAGGTCACGGTTAAATTTACTTGCAGAGAAAGGAACTGGATGTCGGTGGTGCAGTGTGTTTGGCCTGTTAATTTAGGAGCTGGTTTACTGAGGGAGAGAGAGCAAAATAAATGCGGGCTAATAAATATATCTTCTTTATCAATTAATATTTTTGTTCATATGTTATATAAATAGACTTGTACTTTGTGCTGTGTTTTGGCGAAGGGTTATATGTAGAAAAAGATGAAAGCTGCATTTGGTGTTTCAAATAAAAACACAGCTTCATGTCCGAATTCCTCTGTTGCTGTTGGCTCATGGCAAGGGTGAACCTGTGGCCCGCGAAACAAACCCCTTACTCTCTGCAGATGTTATTATGTGCCCATACAGAGCAGCTTAGGGATCGCAGCCTGATTTTTATTTTATTTTTCCTTTTTTTTTTCTTTTTTTTTTTTGTGGGAGGCCAGGAATAAAACACTGCAAAACAGACTGTGTAGGCACAGCTCCTCTGATTTTTTTGCCTGGATTTCTGAATTCAATAGATCCTTCTGGGTTTGCTTTCCTAAAGCTGGCAGCACAGGGACAGAAACTGATGTCACCGCGCATGGTTTTAAAACTGAGGCATTTTAGTCCCAGTGAAACATCTCGCCAGCAGGCCTCTCGCCCCTGAGGAGCTGCAGTAGGTCTGCAATGTTTGGGAGCTGCACTGCTCCTGCAATTGAGGAAAACAAATCACCACCGTATTAGAAGCACGTTCGGACCTGGCCACTGCAAACATGTGGCAGCACAAACTTGAATGTGATACTGGAGACAGAACTCTGCATCGAGGCTCTGCCGGTATGCCTGGTTCCCAGATCCCAGCTGAATCTGCAGAACCGGTTAAATTTTGCTATGAGGAGAATGCAAAATTAATTTTTAGTGGATTCATTCCATACAGGCTCGCTCTTTGACAGGCTGTGAGCAACGTGTCCAGTTTGAAACAAATGGAAAAAACCCAGCGACCAAGGAGCAGTGAATACTAGGCAGGTCACGTGCTTATGTTCAGGTTTATCTGGTGCTTTTCAGGTGCATCCCGCAGCAGGTCATAGGTATAGACGGGGAATTTCCTGGAAGCGCATCTGGATCCTTCCAATGAAAAGCTGCATAGCAGTCGCATTCACAGAGGACTGCAGGTGTAAGCCTCGTGCTTTTACACACCTGCTCTTTTGGGAGTGGGAACTGGATGTAGACACTTAACGTGTAGCACCTTGTAAAACTTCTTGCTCTGTTTGTTCTTACTTTTTTGGCCTGGACAAAAGGTGAAGTGCAGGCAGGGTAGTTTGCACATGGCTATGTGACCTTAGGTGGAGTTATATCCTCTGCACATGGGTTGTATAACACCCTGGCAGCCCTGCCTGTACTAGAAAGCCCTGGCACGGGTGAGGTGCTTGCCACTGTTTTAAGCACTTCGTTAACTAGCCTGCTTTGCTCCCTATAGTGCTTTAAAATGTGTTGGCAACTGGTAGTGTATTGGTGACTCACGGTCTAGACCTTAACACTGGGCAATAAACTTCAGCAGTTCACTGCTTTTGTCAGGAGCTGTGCTGGTTTCCCACTGACAAGATGCCCTATCTGGTGGGGTAAATAGATGGAGGAGTAGGGAAGGTGTATTAATACTAAAAACTTAAATAAACTTAAGGCTGCACATCGTGCATAGAGTGAAATCCTAACCTATTATGCATGTGAGCAGTTCCTGCTGGCTCACCTATAAACTGGCAAAAGTTTATAGGTGGAAAAGAAAGAAAGTGGACTTGGAGGGGGCCATCACCTTTTCTGTTTTAGTCTCACCATTTGAATTAGCACCTATCTGAATTACTTAGGTGAGTCTGCTGAATCAACGGAATTTTCAAATGCAGTACCTTGAATTCTTGTTTGGGGAAAGGATGGTGGAGGGGGATGGCTCTGAGGATGTGCTGTTGGAAGTGGCAAAGCATCTTGCAGGCCAACATCTGCATTTACTTGGCTCCTCTTTGTTCTTTCAAATCTTCTTTTGATAGTTTCTTCACAAAGAAAATTTAACTGCTATTTCATAGCCAGTGAACTGCTCAGCGTTTGCTAAAGGAATATTAGAGCTGTCTCAGGTCAATGGTGTAGTTTAGGCAGCAGCATTCCTGATCTGTGATTTTGCTGATGATTTTTTTTATTGGCTTTTCCCCTTTTTTTATCTGGATTTTTTATTGTCACCTTTTCATCACTTCTACTCCCAACTCTGCCAAGTGAACCTAAGCTAAACACCAGAAATCTTCCTTCTCTTGCAGCCTTTTTTTTAAGGGCTCCACAGACCATTTTTGTGAAAAACACAGTTGTACATCTGTCTCTTTTATGTAAATACCCATATAGATATATCTTCTTAGTCGTGGCCTACATCTTATCTTTTACTGAAGCAATAAAAGACTCCATTTTGAAACAGGGTACGGTGGCTACTGAGTTGTGTGCAGACCAGTTCCTATGTTTTTTTCCCTTCACTTCAGGTTGCATGAACAGCAGAAGGAGATGGATATTCTTGCAATGTATGGTACTGTAGACAGTGAAGGAGATAAAAAACAATATTTAGAGAGAGGTTCACCTCTTCTGTAAATAAACCCAACAACAAAAAAAACCCCATCATGCTTGTGATAGGGCATTTAACTTGTGTAGGTGGAGCAACTCTCAGGTAAATGTCAGGACTCGGTTTTGGTTCCTGCATAGGGCCTGATGGTTGAGGCATTAGTCAGCCCCCCCCCCCCTCCTGAAATGTGTGGCTGGTGCCCACGTTTTGCACACTGCAGGCTTTTATGTCCCAAAGAGCTCTGCAAAGAGGCACACACCCACCGCTGCTCTGTTTGGTAGCTGGGACAACCACAGCCGTGCCCCTCCAGAGCTGGTCTGGCAGGACAGACCCCAGGAGAACACAGGGATCAATCACCCTTTGTCGACCAGAGGTGCCCTGTGGGTGTGCTGCATGCAGGATTTCCAGCTGCTCACTGCATCCTCTCTTAACCCAGCAAAACACTCAGTGTAGGCTAAATGTCTTGGCTCTTGTGCTGTCCCTGTGCGTGCTCACCGGAGCTGCCGTGAGCTCTGCTGCAGCAGACAGCTCGGAATGGGCCAGTTCCAGTGATTGTGTTCATCTTCGTGTCTAATTGCCAGAAATGTCAAGGATTTCATGCTACAGGGATGAATCCAGACCTCTCTTCCAGAGTTCCCTGCAAACAGTGTCTTTGTGCCTTTGACAGGCCCGCTGGGCGTGTTTGGGGACAATGGTACCCTCCTGAACTTCTGTTTCCCATGTATGTTCATAAACATTGGTGGATTTGGCAGTAGTGTTTGTCAATTTTTGTAAACATCGGGGTGGAGGAAAAGTTTGATCTCTTTCTCTATAGACATGTAGTAGAAAATAAAAACCAATTTCCCCTTATTGTAGTCAAATGGCAAAGGCAGTAAAACACGGCAAACCAAGCCCACTCTGCCCTGTTTATGTAGCACTGAATATGTGTAAAACAGTTTCAGTGTTGCTGCATTGGTTAACAGCACTTAGGAATACACACATTACGTGATCGTGGCTCACTTGATGCAACAAGTTTAAAAAAAATCATGTAGAGAATTCCTAGGCTTTTCAGAAAAAGACAGCAGGTAGTGAGTGACGTAATTGATGTCTTGGTACCAACACTGAGATGCTTTTTTATGAGAGTGGATTAGCATCAGTGCTGAGCCTTGTAAGCATTTCAGTTTTACCTGCAGAGGGGCAGTTCACTGAAGTGCTTGCAGGATCAGGAGCTGCACTGGCTTGCGGGTTTGTTCACTGGGTGTTTGTTTACCTGAGCTTCGCTTTCTTTTTCCCCCCTGTATGGATGGAGTGATGCTTTGTCATCAGTAACACCCAGGTAGAGCCGCAGCATCCAGCTGCACATGTGTGTGCAGGGAGAGGCAGGACAGCTCTCCACCAGGCAGCGTTTCTGCGGGAAGGCTTTCTCCCCTTGGGATGTCGTTGCTTGCTGGAGGGACTGTGCACCTACCTCTCCAAAAAAGCCAAGAAACTGTGCACTCACCCTTCCTTGAAGCCCCCTGGGTCAGCTGCAGGCTGGGGCTGCAGCATGCTGGAGCAGAGCTGCTCTGACATCATCTGCCTGCCCTAAAAGCTGCCACCGCCTCTGGATCTTTTGATCCTTACGTGCTGGGCATGCATTCGGTGGGACAAAACTGAAAAGTCTGGAAAATTGCTTGTTTTGAAATGGTGACAATAACTTCATTTTAGGGATGTTTTTAATCTGAGCTGTATAAATAAATAAAATTAATATTTTCAGCTGAATCAGTAAAAAAAAAAATCCTTCGAGAATTTAGGGCTGCCTTCTAATGGCAAAAAACCTGAGGCATTGGTTAGGGAAAAAAAATCTCCAATCCTAGTAGATTGGAAGAGGATAGTATACTGCTGTGGTCAGTAGAAACAGTGATATTTTTGGTTTCTTTTTCTGTTTGTAGACTCAGAAGAATTAAGAGGATTCCTCTTTTTTTGCCATTAAGATGTCAACAACAACAACAGCAGTGATTAGCTGCTGATTTTTATTTCTGCTGCTCTGTGGGCTTGAAAGCTGGCTTTTTGGGTGCTTTTTGCTCTTACCTGCTACCATTTAGATCTTCTAACTCTTTCTGCCCCCTCATAATTTTTCTTTACAGATAAAAATCTTGTAGGCTGTTTTTATTGCTAACTTGCTCATTTTTTTATGTTCCTTTCTGAGTGTATTGAACACTAAAAAATGCAAATTTATTGTAATTCCTCCCCAAACCCACGGTTTACTCATGGAAATTAAGTTGATACCTTGAAGTATCTAAGGGATGTAAAAGTGAACCAATTTAATAGCAAAGCTGTTTCATAATCCATATAAATGCATGTTTTAGAGAACTCTTTTGTGACTTATGCAGATGTAGGCTTTTAAATATTCTAAAACTTGGTTTATTTATCCTTTTCTCTAATATTTCTTTTCTCTTTTTAATAGGTCATCACACAACGAACTAGAAAAACATAGGTAAGTCTTGAAAAAAAAAAACTAATTAAAAGATGTATGGTTGACATTCAGGTTACCATGTTTTTTGAAGGATATTTTGCTGAAATTGTTTTGATTCAGCACTGAGTAGGTTATTAAGTTGTTTTGGATTCTTTTATCAACTAAAATCTGATAGGTATAGTATTATTTGGCTTTTTTTTTCCTGTTTGGTGTGCTCTTCTTGAAACACCCCTGATAATTAGCTTTGGACTGATTAATGCTGTAACTGGATAACCGAATTGTTACTAACAAAGAATCTGATTGCAGCAACTGTTTGCTAGAGGTGTTAAATGCTATAAGTACAAAGTATTTTGTGACTAAGGTGAATGATTTTCGGGAACAATGTGTCACACAGGGTTATTCTATGTTTGTTTTTTTTTTAAAGTATGCCTAAAGTGCAGTTAATTTTCATCTTGCATGTAAGTACCTACAGATATGTTTTTCCCCTCCGTCTGCTTCCTTGCTGGTGCGTGTCCTGTCCAGAGAGCTGTGTGTGATAGAAATGGGCACCTCCTGAGCTGCAGCCCTGGTCTGGTGTACCCAGCACTGGGAAAATCTGGACTTACCCAGGACAGACATTAGACCCTGCAGACCTGAGATGTATAGAACTCAGGTTTTGGAGGCAGTGTTCCCTGTCCATTGTATCATGTCAGAGTTTGTTTGCAGATGGGCCTTTGAGCTGTTTGAAGTCTCTGGGGTGCACACAGAGAGCTCTGAGAGCAAACAGTGCCTGTCTTGGCTCTGCCTTTTGGTTCCCTCACTGCAGGATTGCTGCCTTTCACTTACCGTTCAGGCAGCAGGGTAAACTCTCCTTCGGGTAGTTTTCTGTTCATTTTGTGTAGCTTGTGGTCTTTCGGGTTTCGTGCATCCAGAGAAAGCAAGGGTGGTGTGTGTGAATATGATTTAAACTATTTGCATGCATCTAAATACGTGAAATGTGGTTGATGGCACAACAAGATTGGACTCGTGGGGGTTTTTTTGTGTCTTGTTCTGTGGCTGCAGTTATGTAGCAGCTAGACCATCACTTCCCTTGCATGCTTACATGCTTTCCTGTAGTTTAATTGTAATATGAGTAAACTGTAGCTCTGCCTAATAGCCACGTGGTCAGCCTAGAGATGAGAGGAACTGGAGAAGGCTCAAGCTCACAAACACAGGCCTCAGCTGTAGAATGCAGTGCATTGGCTAAGGCAGTGACATCAACTGGCAGAAGTTCTGCTGATAGAGTCTTCAGGAAAATAGCTGCATGTAAAATTCTGTCCTTTGGTCTCACTTCTTTAAAATAATAATAAAAAAAATCATCGGCCCTAACTGTGATTCTTTCTCACTCTCATTTTTTTCCATCCTCATTTTAGATACTCTGTTCCATTTCTTCCTTCCCCCCTGCTCCATTATTACTGACTTGTTGTCATCTAAACTCCATATTCTCTTTTTTTTTCTTCAGTCATTTTTATAACCCAAGCATGGAGTTGCCTCTTCTTCCCTCTGCTCTGCCTTAATGTGTTTAAGCAGCACAGTAAATAAGGCACAGCAGCATTAGCAGCAGATGCAGGGCCAGAAGGAGAATCTATTAATTGTTCAATCGCTGTTCTCACTTTCAGTTCTGTGTTGTATCTTTGTAGTAGTTGGACCATATAGTATTTTCCTTGCTACCTTTTCTCTCTGCCATCTCAAGGTCAAAATAGGTAAACTGCACAGTATGTCGTGTGATTATACAACTGATGTTTGTAACTGCTGCTGCTTGCTGTGCCTCCTGCAGTTAGACTATACTTGAAGCCAGATTTTTATTATTCCTGGTGAGAACCTGCAAATTAGTGCGAGATCCTTGTTTGTGCAAATGGGTGTTCGCAAAAGCAAATGAGATGTGTACAGTTCTAGTTGCCTGATGTATTGGCGTGAAGGACTCCTGCAATTTTTATTTCTCTTTTTTTTAACAACCCCCTCCTCCAGCGCTGTGGGTGTATGAACAGATAATAACTGATCATAGTGTTTTTCACGGTGTTTCACTAAAATTACATTAAAATCTATCAAGTGTCTTGCAAAGTTTAAATGAAAGATTCACAGCCGTAGTGTGTCCCTGTAGCAGCTGGTCCTTTCGGCGGAGCCTGTCCTCCTTCCCCAGCACAGCCCTGCCCTGTCAGCTGGGAAGCACTGGATGTTGATTTTGGAGGTGTATCCTTTCCAGGACCAGTGCCTTTGACTCACCACTGCTGTGATGCTTCTCTGGCGAGACACACTGGGTTATCTCACAGGAGCCTGTCGAGGAGGAGCAGAGAAGATGGCCGTGCTCATCCTCCTCCTTACCCAGTCCCTCCCGTGGTGTCTGTGGGCTGGACTCGGTGCTGGAGGGCAGGGAAATGGCTTCCTCATTTACAGGGCTTTGTGTCCTGCATGAGGATGGCCAGAGCTGCCACTGAGTGGAAAGCCATGGTAGCCTTGTACTGTGTGTGGTGCTGCTGCAGGTTCTGCACTGGCGTTGCACAGCAGAGGTTTTGCCGGTGGATTTGACGTCGGTGGGAATGGCAGTGGTTGTTGATCTCTGCGTGTGCCAGCTTGGCCGTTTTCTGTGTGTTTTTGAAGAGATGCTCAGAGGAAGACAAATGGAAGCAGAGACATAATTCCAAGAAAAAAATCTTGTTATATGTTAGAATTCAGATTACAATTATGGTAAAGTGTTTGTCAGCAATACATCCTTTTTTTCTGCTTTAAGTCTCCCTAAAATACCCTGCTCAGAAATTCAGTGTGTGCTCCTTATAGTGAAACACTGTAAGGACTTACCCTCTAATGGCAGTCTTATTTTGGTCCTGTGTGATCAACATTTACATCTTGGAACCATGAAACAGGAATCCCCTTAAATAAAAAGTAGAAAGGCAGGAAATCTTCTATCCTAAGGACAGATGAGGTCCTAGAAGATATTTTAATAATTACAGACAGGTTACAGTGGCACTTGGATGTAACTAGTTCCTAATGACAAATATATACATGTATATTCATTTATATATTTTTTGTTGTTTCCAGCGAGGCCATTATGTCTGTAGGCTTTCACAGAGCAATGTAAACTGTAAGTAAATTAGTAGTCAGACTTATTGCAAGGAAATTTTTTAATTGACCTAACCTGACAATTGTATAAAGGAATTCAGCTTTCATAGTGTAAAAAACCCGCAAGAATTCGTGAAAGCCATAAGCTTCTTAAAAAGACACAGCATAATCTCATTTATTTGCATCACTTTATACTAGTTTTACATTAGAAGGTAAAAGCCAAGGTGTATCCCCCTGACGACTGTGCTGAGATCTCCACAATGCTCTGTGAAGGCAGAGTCACCTGCCCTCAGCTGTTCACATCTGGACTTGTCCCCCCCAGCTCATGCAAGGCCATGGGAGGGAGAAGGAGCAGCACCTCCCCGTCGTGGTCCATCCTTTTTTGTTGGAAGCAGATGGAGCCCTGACAAAGGATGCTGGGATCAACCCATCAGAGTTATTCAGTCCTGCCTGGTCATGAGGAGCTCTGCTGCAGGAGGAATGCAAGAATTCTTGCCCTTTCCCTGGCAAAGTCTTTGAAAACAGCTTGTGAAACTTGATGATTTTAAAGAACAGCTTTTAAGAATTAGTGAGGAAATGAATAAAAACGTGCCTTGAAATTGGCAAGCCACGTGCTGATGTCCCCAAACTGGCACCACGTGAGCTGAACAAGTACTGTCTGACCCTGGGATGGCTGATCTAGGGCCCAGGTCCCCAGGCTTAGGTTTGACAAAAGCTGACAAGCTGAGCCCTATGGAGGTAAAAGCCAGGCATTGCTGTTGGCAGAGGTGTACTCTAGAGGCATTTCCCTGCTTTCCTGTGGAAGGTGCTCCAAGAAGTGGAAGTGCATAAGTGTTTAGCTCCATCACTGGGTATCAGGTGGGACAGGGAGCAGTTCCCTCTTGTTCAGGGCTCACTAGTTTATAGTGCAGAAAGCTGAGACTGCTGTGGAGGTGGCCTGCATCAGTTGAGGGAAACAGCCCTGAATTTTTAGAAGTGCAAGACTAGGATGGGGAATACATGAAACAATGTAATTTGCAAAACCTTACAGAAGAAAAGAAAAATGCTTGCTTTCTTCCCAATGGAGCCTAATGTATGCATTGATTAGAGTGCTGATCAGGGGGAGACTGAAAATGTTGCCATGTGCAGAGAAGATAATGCTGACCTGAGGTTTGGGTAGTGCTATGTGTAGTCCTTAAACTTAGTATCTTGCCAGAAAAAGCTTTTTCTATTACATCATCATGTGTATGAAATGGATATCTGTATATAAACATAGGTTTTGATGAGCAGTATATATTTTGATGAGAGCCTTAGAATGTGCAACATTAGCTGATACAGTAAATAGAACAGGTGCCTCTGAAGTTAAGTTCTAATAGGTAGTTTTCTCATGAAGGAAGTGCAAGTGCTGGAGCACAGTTACATTCAATTTCACCCACCAGAGTTACTTCGAGTTTAAAGTTTACATAAGCTGAGAGTATGTCTTGAAATTCTCTCTGTGGTGCTTCATGCTAGTAAACTGCAGAGTTAATGAAAAACATGTAATTGGCAGTTGCTGATAAACCTGGAAGTTTGGAAACAGAACCGAAAGGTCATTGAAATAATAGCATACCAAAACAATACTTAATGTTTATTTTTGTTATGGGCTGCCTTTTCAAAATCATAAATTACCATTGTGGTCAGCACGGTTATGCAGCATAAAGATGTAACTGCATTGATCCATCACTCTGAATGGCTGTGGTGCCACCACTAACTGAGGAGACCCCCAAACTGGTGGTGGAGGTAAAGTCCTTCCAGGGAAGGGTCACCCAGTATTTGTCTCACTGCTGTGCTTCCATCATGAGTTTAACCCTGGTCACACACTGGTGCTGCTGGGCCCTGCTTCCTGCCGGCACAGCAGGAGGGGAGAAGCTTCCTGACCCAGCTCACTGTCAGAGGCACACCCTGATGCCAGCACAGGGAGAGGGTGG